CAGTCAATGTATAATCACCAAGTATGGAATTTGTTTGATCATGTATTTGGTTAAAAGACAGTTGGGTTCAAATGGATCTTCAAGAAGAAGACTGACATGGATGGGGAAGTATACACTTTCAAAGATATGTTGGTCCTTAAGGGCCTTACTCAAAGCCAAAGGATTGACTATGATGACACCTTTTTGCTAGTGGCTAAGATTAAGCCTATTAGGATAATGCTTGCTATATTCGCATTTCATGATTATGAAATATGGTAGATGGATGTAAAAACTACTTCCTTAATGGGAAGTTATCGGAGGACGTCTACATGAGTAACTAGAGGCTTTTATACTTGCCAAATTTCCTAATAGTTTGTATATGCTTAAGAAATCCACTTATGGATTGAAAGAAGCATCTTGCAGCTGGAATCTTTGATTCCATGAGAAAGTCAAAGAGTTTTGATTCTCTAGAAGTGAAGATGAGTCATGTATATATGTCAAAGCTAATGGGAATATAGTGACTTTCCTAGTGTTGTATGTTGATGACATACTCCCTATAGAAAATAACGATCCAACCGTGCAAGAAGCTAAGTTTTGACTTGAAAATTGTTTTGCTATAAAGGATCAAAAGGAAGTACCCTATATCTTAAGAATAAGAATTCATCAGGATAGAAAGAATCATCTTATTGCTCTTAGCTAGAGTACATATTTGGATAAAATAGTGAAGTGTTTCAATATAGATAATTCATAGAAAGGAGAATTGTATTCATAATACCATTAAATTGAGTATGACTCAACGTCCCAATATTGGTGAAGAGATAGCTAACATGAGCCGAGTCCCATATGCTTCGCCTATAAGATCTATCATGTACGCAATGACATGTACTTGCCCAGGTGTGTCTTATGCTTTGAGCATGGATAGTCGATTTTAGGGAAATCCTAGTAGAGCCCATTAGATAGCAGTGAAGAATATTGTTAAGTATCTAAAAAGAAAAAAAATACATGTTTCTAGTTCTTGTTGATAGTGATAAATTAAGAGTAAGTTGTTATAGTGGCTTCAGTTTTCAAATAGACTGACACAACTTTTTTTCATAGTCTGGTTGGGTATTCTTGTTGAATTGGGGAGCGGTTATTTGGAAGAGTTCCAAGCAAGACACCGTAGCTGATTCCACCTATAAGGCAGAGCAGATTTTAGTGATTGAAGCATCAAAGGAAGTGCCTTGGATAAAGAAGTTTATAGGAGATCTTAGAGTCATTCCAACTATTCAGTAACCAATGGAACTGTTATGTGATAATGAAGGTGTGGTTGCTTTGACTAAAGAACCAAAAGATCGTGGTAGATCTAAGCATATCAACAAAAAGTAATATTACATTCAACATTGGGTTGAAGAAGGAGAAATTTTGGTGAAGAGAGTATCATAAGAGAATAATGTTGCAAATCCTTTCACAAAGTCTTTGAGCAGAGTTAAACACTAAAAACATGTTAGGAGCATAGGCTTAAGTGACAATGTGAGTTTTAGTAGTTAGGTGATATTTCGAAACTTGTAACAAAAAAATGTAATTGTTTTGGCGAATGAATAATAGAGAATTATTTATAAGTATTGTACTACCTTATTTAATTATTTGTTCATGTGTTTCATTTTGCGCATTTTACTTCCTAAATAACTTGAATTATTAAAACTTCCAAAGTCGTTCATACTTTTGGAAGTAAGTAGTGAACTAAGACTGCCATGAATTGACTATAGATTGTTGATTGAGCTCAAGACATCGTAATTGGATTTGTTGTAATATTCATGAGTATTTTAAAAAATAGATATTTTAACTATTGGATAAACCCACGCTTAGAGATTACTTCATGGATCTAGTCACAACCAATTCTCAAACGATATTATCTACTATTCTTCAAATGGAGATACATAATTTGTAATTTACAAATCAGTTGTATATCGGTGTTGACTAAATGGCTCAGTAACTTAATGTTATAAAATGTAGTATCATGTATGATTTGGTAAGTAAAGGTTATAGTTATGTAGTCAAAGTTTAATCAGTCCTTTTGATGTAATGGGAAAAACGATATCTTTGGGCCCCTCATTGATTTGATGTTGACTATATAGTGTTGGGCCCAGCCAAGACTAGTTGATGTGTTCAATTTGAAGTCTAATAAAGTCTTTACAAATCGAGAAATTAGGAAACCGAATATTGGACAAAGAGATTGATTCTAATCGATGTCTTTGGTTCGTACGATATCATGAAGAACAAATGAATAGTTGTTCACTTATCATAGGGCCAATAGTTGATTTAAATTGGAGTTTGATAGTGGCTTTCGAAAGCACTCTTTGATGTTTAACTTCAACATCTATGTTTGCGATTATAGTTACAAACTTATCCATGTGGGATATTGTTGGATTAAGGTGTTAAATCCAATAACTAAATTAGTATATTCATGAATTAAAAGCAAAGTCCTTTTGGGTTACCCCTCATAACCAGTAACTGAATAGAATGACTTTTGGAGAAAGAAAGAGAGAGAGAGAGAGAGAGAGAGAGAGAGAGAGAGAGAAAGACCGATTTGTTAAATTATTAATGTATTATATGGTTAATATATAAATTCAAAATAATAATAATTCATTAAGAATTAATCAGAAATTAATTGAAGTTAATTTGGGGTTAATTAGAATTAATTAAAAGTGTATGGGCAAAGCTATAATTGTTCAATAGTTGAATAAGAGAGAGGTTGCTTAACATTCACAGGAGGGGGCGGTTTAGGAGCCTCATAAGGGTTCTAGAATGATTCTTTATAGATAAATAAGGAGTTGGATAATTATATTATTTGAGATCTTACTATTATATTCAATTAGGGTTGTCCATGGTTTCCAATCTCAGCTATAAATAGACCCCTTGGCCTGTAATTTTTTAAGATTCTCAAGCATAAGAAAAGGCCGAAAATTTGATCTGCCCTCTCTCATCTCCTCAAGTCTTCTAGTTGCTACGGTTTTTGGTACAAGACATTAGAGGCAAAAGTATTTGGTGCTTGCTTTCCAAGGAACTCAAGAGGATTTTAATTTGATTATTTTCGATAATAATCAAAAGGTATGTACCTACACTAAACATGATTTTCGATAATCGTAGGGTTTCCCTATGGTTTCTTGATGATTCATAGTTTATTGTTATCAATAGAAAGAAAATAGATCCTTTCTAGGTTGCATGTGAACTTAAGGTTTGAGTGTTTTTTCGCTCATAAGTATCTATTCATTTTACAACCTAGAAAACCAAACAGTTATTCTTCATACGATCTGTTACGTTAACGATCTTTATTTCCATACGTTCGTATTTTTTCTACTATACATTTTCTTTAAATTACTCTCGTTCAAAATTAATATATTTTTACTTCCGGTATTATAAAAAGAACGTTTACACATACATTCATAAAGAATGCATGTTTATAAATATCAGAAGTAAAAGTATATTACTTTTTAACTAGTGTAATCTAAACGAAAATTGTAACAAACTCAAATAAGAACCCGTGTATATAAAGATTATTAAAATCTGAGAACGTATGAAGAAGTTACGAATTTCAAAAAATAAGTCTTAAGACCATGCAATCGAGGTCCAAGGGCGAATCTTATATAGGGCTAGGGGGGCTATCCACCCCCCCCCCCTTGATTTTTTTGGCAGAAATAGTCCCTATGCTTTAGTTTTCTACATATTAGGCCCAAAAATATAAAATTTTGACTATGCCCCCCCCCCTCCATGTTCACCAATTTTTATACAAAATATATCTTCGGACCCCCAAATGAAAGATTGAAGCTCCGCCACTGTCGAGGTCGTGATGTCCATAAGCATGAATAACCCTAAACATCTCATTAATGATTGTTCATATAGGATGTTGTCAGAATAATCTAAAGAAACTGTTCATCAGTACTGAATATGTAATAATACAACAAGGACTTATTTTGCAATAAAAATTATATTAAGGACTAAATGTGCAAAAAAAATATTAACTATTAAATATGTACAAAATAATAAATATATTATCCTATTAAGTCTTTTTCCAGTTTATTAGAAGTAATCAATTATAAAAACTGAATGTGTAAGTTAAACAATTTAAAGGGGAAAATGTAGACAAAAATAAATAAATAAATAAATAAATAAATAATAATAATAATAATAATAATAATAATAATAATAATAATAATAACAACTCAGTGATCAAAATATATATATATATATATATATATATATATATATATATATATATATATATATATATATATATATATATATATATATTAGCATTTTAAATCTTTAACCCTTATAACTATTTTTTTGGTTTTTCTTGTGTTCATCTTTTTGGTTCAACCATAAAATCCTAGCAACTTTTATTCTAAGTTTATTAGTTTACATATTCATTTGAGGAATTTGTAATCTCCGCGTGTTGTTTTCTTTTTTTACTATTAAACTTCTAGTTTTTTTGGCCATTCAAAAAAGATTGTAAAAAATATTTTCTTAAAAAAATGTTTTGGCTGAAAGTTCTCCAACTAAGATTTGATGACTACATAATTTGCCTTACTTTTAAGTTATCCGATTCCAAAAAAAAATAAAAAACGATTTGGTTATAGAACATTACATATAGCTTAGTAAAAGCTATGTAGTTCATCAATACTATGTTAACCCTATACAGGATTTTATTTATTTATTTATTTATTTTTGTAGTTGTGATATCTATTAGATTTTCTAAATGCTTTCTATCAAGGCTTTTGAATCATAGGTTTACAGATATAAAACTTACAATAGATAAGTGCAAAGTCTTGATTTGTTTTCACATAAAGTTCAATCACTTTTCATAATCAAGTTATGATTTTATTTTACACGTAATTCAAATGTTCAACTACTAGCCATGTTGTATTTGCTTAAACTTTAATACTATGAGTTGTGGATCAACGAGTTCTTCGTTACATATATCTACAAAACCAAATGATTCCCCTCTAAATTTTCAAAACTTGGAAATCCTAAAACATACAAATATGCTTCCTCATCTACAACTAATTCTTCTCCTTCTAGCCTTCATTTCCCATGAACCTGAAGCCGTAGCACAATCCCAAGTTGCACCAATAACCAAACATACAGACCTTGCTACACCACTCTACAGCGTTCAGTTGATGATCACTTCATGGGTAAACAGAGACATCTTTTATAAAAACCTCCTTATAGACATAGATGCTCCTTTCACATGGTATAACTGCACTGTGGACTGGAATAGTTTGATTTATAACAGAAATTGCCCCACGTGCCCTGCCCCAGTTTCTTGTCAGGAGTATCAATGCACGAATGTTCGCACATCTTACTCTTACGAAAGTCCTTCATGTCTTCCAGTAACCAACAGTTCGACTTTACCTGGTTGGGGAGACTGCACATGCCCAGTCAATGTTGTGAACCCAGTTAACGGGACGTGTGGTCACGCGCTACTCAACTTTGACGAATTCACGTTCAGGGGAAGTGATGGGAAAAACCCTCTTCCAGAATATTTGGTTCGTAGCCAGCTTATGTTTGAGTCATTCCCTGCAAATGTTACTGGTGTAATGGCTTTTTCCACATCTCGGTATGCATTTCCAGCTTATCAGTTTCAACCTTTCACAAAAACATTTTGTTTATGTTTGCCTAGCTCCATGTCTGCTCATGGAGTTATGTTCAGTGGGAACGGACCATATTATCTTCTTCCTAACTCAGATGTGGATCTTCGAAGTCTTCTATCTTATATTCCGTTGCTCAGTTATCCTGATTCTTTTGGTTATTTTATTGGTGTGAAATCGGTTGTAGTTAAGGGAAGATCCATTGATGTTTCAAATAGCACAACGAAGCTTAGTACGATTGAGCCTTACACGATTCTTAGGAGAGACATTTACAAGCAATTGGTTCATATCATATCAATTGCAACAATGGGAATCCTTCGTGTAAGGCCGATGGCACCTTTTGGACTTTGTTTAAAGAATCAAATTGGTCGTTCCCATGTTAGTTTGCTGGTTCCTGATATTGTTTTGAAACTTGAGGATGGGAAGAAATGGATAATATCCTCAAGTAATTCGATGAAACAAGTTAAGAAAAATGTGGCTTGTCTTACTTTTGTTGATGGTGGTGAGACAAGTGAACATGGGATAGTGATCGGGACGTTTCAGATGGAGGATAACTTCCTGCTGTTTGATCTTGAGAATTCAAGTTTAGGGTTTAGTTCTTCTTTATTAAGCAATAAGACTTCTTGTGCAAACTTCAACTTTACCGGTCCTTGAAGTTGATTCAAAAGGCTTGTTCCATTTTAAATGTATGTCGACATGATCACGATTATGTGTTGTTGTACATGCAAATAATTGAAATATATATTTCACTCATTTGTGCCACAATGTTTGAGTTTGTTACCATGTATGCAATAATGTCCATCCGTTGCCATAACTTTTTTTTAATATTTTTTTTGAACGGCAAGAATTTATTCTAACTAATGAAACTAGGGAAAATTACAAAACAAAGTACATCGGATTCGGTTCACAAATCCTGGTTCAAACAGTTTTTTCGGTCCATTCAGCCAGAAAAATCTGTTTGGACCTGAAAAGATGTGTATCAAACGGAACCTTAGTCCTAGTTGGCAGCCTTTCAAGCTTGCATGCCAAAAAAAAACATTTATTTTATGTGGGACAACCTTAGAGCAGTTTTTGGGTAATTAGTAGTGGAGAAGGAATGTTTGACGATCTCTTCCCTAGGATGCGACGGTGAAGGCTCCTACGGTACCTTATCTAGACTCCGGCACCATTTATTTTCGGTGGAATCACCCAAAATGTTTTTTAGTACTTACTTCTATAAAAGAGTGTATTTTTTTAGAACTTCCAAATACAAATATATAATTCACTCCTAAATTAACACTTCCACAATAAGACTTGAATCCTCGGCCTCAAAGAGGGACGACACATCTGATACCGCTGAGTTAGAAGCTCTTTCGTAGAAGAGTATATTAACATCCGTTACTTAGAACTAAAATTTGCATTCATTAAATAGAATTTTTATTTTTGTACAATACTTATCATTAGGTTATTTACCTATTTAAACGGTTTTGCAAAGATACGGTTTTGTTTAATAACCTAAATGTTGCTGTTTTTACACAAATTAAATGTTAAGCTTAGAGTTTTTGTGTTCATGTTATTATTTATTTAAGAAAAAACATCATAAATGGTCCCTGTGGTTTCCCAAAATCTAAAGTTTAGGCCCTGTGGTTCAAGAACCTCATAGGTGGTCTTTATGCTTTCAAAACTTTTGACAGATGGTCCTTATCCATCACACCATTAGAACCCTACCGTTAATTCTTATTTCATTAAAATAATATAAGGGCAAATCGGTTTTTTCACATGTGCCTTCTTCTTTATAACCAAATTCATGTCTGATATTTTGAAAACCCTTCTCGCACCCACCCTCTTATACTCTCACTCTACTGTGCATCCAATTGCAAAACGAATTCTACAAGTGTCAAAGATGGCAATTTGTAGATGTGAATGGAAACAACGAAGTTGACCTCATGGACGGATCGTAACACAGGAAGGTAATTTTTGAATTGTTCAAGATGTAGGTTCGTAAGGTGGGTTGACCCCCTGATGTGTACTAGGTCATTGGTGGTGATTCCAGGTTTGATAAGATCAATGAATCGATTGGAAGAGAGGGTTGCGATTGCAAGTGCAGAATTGTGGAACTACCAATTAATGTTGTTTTGTTCATGTATTTTTTTTTTTTTTGGTTTTATTTTAACCAGTAAGGTTGTTGAAGGATCTGGATGGTAATAGGATAGGGGGTTTTGGTTTCTTTTGTACGCATCTAACTAGTTCAGGGGGTTTTGGATTGTAATGGAATGGGTATTTTTTGTTTCATTTTGTTGTATGAAGTGTAATAAATTAAGTTAATGGAAATGATGATTATGTATTTTGGTTATAAATCAGTGTTTTTGATGTGCATTTTCGTATGATACATTGTTATAATTGCATCTTGCAAATGGTTAGGAATGGTATTTCAAATATACATTGTTATACATGCATCTTTTTGAGAAAGGTTTGTAGAGGGTAATTCATAAGCAAAATGTTGATAAAATCATTACAAGTCTGTGTTTAAACATGACACTTAGTTTCAACATACTTACTGATGGAAGGTCTTAACCCATACAAACATTACAAAAGTCCTAATTACCACAATTTAAACAACTAAACTATAATTCAAGTTTCAAAAGACCTAACTACCCACCCTATATGGTTTTAAATGGATCTCCCCATGTGAGCATGAGGTTGATCTACTCAACTCCTTAAGCTTTTTGTCCTTTCATCTTCATAAAATGTTGCATACTAATAATCATCACTTTGAATAACTTCCAACTCTTCATCAACTATGTCAGTCCCTATACTTTCGATTTGCTTGTTTAAAATTCCATGTTCATCTACATCCACGACACTTTGGAATTCACTCATGTCTACATCCACATCAAATTGCAAGTTAGAATCATGTACAATGTAGTCACTATCATCAGAATCATCTCCACTATAATCAGAACCATCTCCATTCTGACTATAGAAAGCATCTCCACTATCATCACTTACCATGCCCTCTAGAATTTCCATTTCTACTTGATTGTCTTCACCATTTGGTACAGTGTACTCAGCATCAAAGTCAACATAAGTTGAATAATCATCTGTAAATGCTTCAAATTCATCGAGTCTTACACTTTGTTGTCCATTAATATCTTCACAATTTGGTTCCTCTGCAAGATAGCCTAAATTATCGTTACACACTTCTTCTTTGTGGCCCATGATCAATCCTTCATTCACATCAATTACATTACTTCGTTGGATAACTTAAGACATAACATATGGAACAATAGTCTTTGATTGATCCTAACTTTCATCCATATCTATTACCTGTGACTGGTCAACAACATGGTTGGCAGGGTGGTCTAACTCAAGCTTTTTACTACACGGTCCTACTTCTCTTCTAAAAGGTTTTTTTCTATTAAGTTTCGGTGACACACTCTCATGTTCCAATTCCTCAATAAAAACTTTGGAAGGAGACTTAAAATAACTAGCTACCCTAGTCTGACCAATTTCAATATAGACCTTTACAAGTCTGTGCTTAGGGACATACGAAACCAATTTAATAACATCTTTGTCATTACCTAAACGCAATAGCCCGTAGTCTAAGGGAAATTCAGGGATACAAAAACGGTAGTAAAGAGTTTGTTCACCTTTGTACCCTAATTCTTGAACCATGTCATCGAGATCGTGGACTGAAAATAAATCAGTGTCAACGTCATCTACGTATGATATGCAACACCGAAAAATTTTAAATTTATTTTATTCATTTTTATTTCATAAAAATGCACATTATTCTATACAAACACTTTTTATTTAAAAATCATCAACAAGGTTTTCAGAACATTATGAAATTCCAGGATCTGTATTCATCACTCTTTTCTCTTGTGTGTGTACAATCGAGCCGCCGCCTTCCCGCGATTCTGAAGAACCTGAAACACATAACACATAACACGGTAAGCACGAAGCTTAGTGAGTTACCCAAAATGCCACATATAACACATACGCCACTCAAGGCTACAATATGACCCTCCGGTCGGTGTGTCTCAGCGGAACCCTCCAGTTCCGTATCGTTGGACCCTTCGGTCCGGTCTGTATCGTTGGACCCTCTGGTCCGGTCTATATTGTTGGACCCTCCGGTCCGGTCTATAAACTCCACATAGCCTAAATCACAAAAACATGATGCATAGCATATCACATATAACATAATACTCAATGTAAGCACATAAGACCCTCCAGTCACACATAACTACCACTCAAGGTAACGTATAGTGAGAAGAATCACCTCGGGTAATTCTCGAAAAGTCTCGAACTCAAAATACCGATCTAGCCGCCGCCTAATCACATAAATAAATAACTCTAAATCAGCAGTGGCTCTCAAAGGCTAGACAAGTCTCGTACTATGCTTCCCAGAAAGGTAAAAGACCATTCTACCCCTCCCCTAGCCCAATAGTCCACCAGTTGACTAAACCCTAAAAGTCAACAGAAGTCAACGGTCCAAGTTTGACCAGACTCGTCGAGTCAGGCAACGACTCGGCGATTCCACACGCGTAATCAAATTCCTCACAAGGTCTCACTCGACTCATTGAGTCACCCACTCAACTCGTTGAGTCTCCATTGATCACGAAACTCGGGTAAACTCGATTCGACTCATCGAGTCCTCCTATGGACTCGGTGAGTCTCCTCCATGACCAAACTCATCTGACCTTCTGAGGTCAGATTTGCTTCACCAACTTGTAAATCTATCCTTCTAGCACCCATAAATCACATAAAGGTCCAAAATTTACGTCCATGCATCATGATTAAAGCCATAAATGAAGAAATAGCCTTCTAAATGGAAACCTAGGCTCAAAATCTCTATGTGACTGCATAAAGCTGAACATAAGGGACTCTCTGGACCTCCCATGGTCCAGATCTAAGGCTTATTCCACATTGGGACCTCAAGCATTCCATAAACCTCTAATGAGAATGGTTAAGAAACCCTAGATTCATGAAATCAACATCAAACAGGAGAAATGGTCCGATTTGTTACCTTAAAGTGTAGCTCCAGGCTTCATAACCTCAGTACATCAACGCCTTCTGGTCCCTCTTGCTAGAATCTCATATTCTCTTTAGAAATGACACACCAAAATGCTCAAGATGGCTCTTCTTTACTCTCTAAGATCTCAAGGATGATTTAGGGTTTCTCCAGGGTAAGGATAGCCGCAATTGAAGACCCTAAGGCTCTTTAAATAGGTCGCAAACCCGGACAATTAGGGTTTTCCTCCACAGTGCCGACTCGGCGAGTCCAATGCTCGACTCGTCGAGTCCATTCATTTAAACGCGTCACCTGATCGCGCCCCTACTCGACGAGTCAATCCACCAACTCGCCGAGTCCCTTCGATTAAATCAAAATATATAAATAATATAACATACCCAAGAATCTGGATGTTACAATTCTCCGTTACTTGAATTAGATTTCGTCCTCGAAATCGCTCCTTGACCCCACATAATTAGAATCCAATAACCCGTAAGATACCACCGTAGGATCTCATACCACACCAATATCACTAAAGAGGACACCTCCCGTACGAATTATCCTCATGCCACCTTCTACCAGAATCATCAACTCTGACAACTCACTGTTCCTCTGATTCTCCCTAACGAAAACCATCGATCTGCTATCGATCATCCATACC